AATAGCATTTCACAAAATCATCTGCTGAGCGTGATGTCGGAGAATCAGAACGATTCTCAGACGTTCGGCACGAAGGAAGAGGAGAGCAGCCAGAAGACGGTGGTGTGCGTCAATCAAGAACCCGAAGTGCCCAAGTGTGAAGTGATTCACATCGCCATCGTGTGTGCCGGATACAACTCCAGTCGATCCGTCGTTACTCTCATCAAAAGCATTCTTTTCTATCGGAAAAATCCATTGCACTTTCATTTTATCGCCGATTCCGTGGCGCAACTCATTTTACAGACTCTTGTGTCCACCTGGAATGTACCTGGAGGTGAGTAAGAAATGCACACTTTTTAAATATTTCGTTAGCAATGTTTATCATTATTAACATAGGTTGATATTGACAAAAGACATATACAGGGTGGGGCGTGGAAACTTCCTTTTTTGAAAAGGCAATAAAACGCACTACATATTTCATTTGACTTTATTATTATTTTCTGCCTACCACACAACATGGGAAGTTTGAAGTTACATAGTTTAAAAGTCAATGTATGTTAAATGTCTCCCTCTGTTATCAATACACTGATGCAGTCCATTTTTAAAACTTTGAGTCACCGTTTCAAGCATACCGACCGGGATAATTTCAATTTCGGCTCAGATGTTGTTTCTTAGGTCTTCCAGGGTCTTGGTCCTTTGTGAACCCGGGACTTGAAATAAGCCCACAGGAAATAATCAGGAGGGGATAAATCAAGTGAGCAAGCAGGCCAGTTTACGTTCCCTTGCAGGGAGATTAGTCATTTGGGAAGGCTGCTCTTAAAATACCCATGGAAACCCATATATGGGCTGTGACACCATCTCGTTGTAGCCACACGTTATGAAAATCCCTTTCCAGATGTTGTTTCTTAGGTCTTCCAGGGTCTTGGTCCTTTGTAAACCAAGGACTTGAAATAAGCCCACAGGAAGTAATCAAGAGGGGATAAATCAGGTGAGCAAGCAGGCCAGTTTATGTCCTCATGCAGGGAGATCAGTCATATGGGAAGGCTGCTCTTAAAATACCTATGGAAACCCTGGTGTGGGCTGTGGTACCATCTTGTTGTAACCACACATTATCAAGATCCCTTTCTTGGAGAGCGGGTGAGAAGAATTGTTGGATCATTGTCACAAACCGTTCTGAATTGGCACACGAACTCGTTCCACATTTTCAGGTGTTCTAACGGTCTTTGGAGGTCCTTTCCTTTTTTTGGAGAAATTCTCCGATGCTCTGAATGTAGCAATCCACATTAAAACTAATTTCCGATCAGAAACATGACCTCGTGGAGGAATATCGAAGTGACAACGAAAGACACATTGCACTGCAATCACCGACCGACTGTTAAAGAAATACGCCTCCATAGCGAAAACACGCTGCTGCCTCTACCACAACATGTTTGAGATTGGGACAAGTGGAAGCACAAATATCCCACTCCACCCCTTCTACTGAACCCAACTCCACGTCCCTCCCCTCCCTACAAACAACACTGCAACATGTTCAAAAAAGGAAGTTTCTGCACCCCACCCCCTGTGGCTGCGGTATCCGAGTGGTCTAGGCATCGGATCATGGCTAGCATGTCATGAGTTCGATCCCAGCACCACTGAAGACCCGCCGTGTAGGGGAGCGATGCACATAAAATCTGTCGAGAGCTCAAACGTCCTCCTGTTGGTGTGGTGTGGTAGTTAGGGGAGGGGAGTGCCAGCTCAGGTGTCATCCGCGTCACTTGACCATGGTTCAAAATTACGCGGACCGTCTTCAAAAGCCCTCGTGTGGCTGAACAGTGGGACATTAATATTCACTCACTCACTCACCCCACACCTCTGTATATAGGTACTTGCATAGTATACCGTCAACCAATTTTAGCAAATCAAAGAGCTGTTGCCAAACGCTCTCATCATATACATGGACAAGATTATTATGTTTGTGCTTGCATGGGAACAAGCTTCCACTAATGGCTGTGTAATGCGATATTTGGCGATGTTTTTCCATTTGACGAATTGGTCGACGGCATAACACATAAATACCAAATTTATAAAATCATTCTTTTTAAGTGATTCAGATTTGTAATGAACATAATTCTTAAACCTTAGCCAAAAAAAAACACGGTACATATGATACCTTCGTCCAATTTTGCCGAATCGAAGAACATCGTTGATTCAAAAAATATTATCAAATGCTGTCATCGTTATTATTGTGTTCGAACATACACTGGAACAGTTTTCCACCATTGGCTGCATATTGACGACCTCTTTTGATTTGAAAAAAATAGTCGATGATATATAATGTGCAAGTATCATTTTTTTATCATAAAAATATCAAAATTCTATATCTTTTTAACTGCGTGCTTCACCAGAAAGCTGTCTGTTTAGGAATAAAAAACTAATTTTTCTTCATATAAATATCTAATACTTTTGTATAAATGCAAATTAGATGTACTGACTTTAAAATGTTGAAAGTTTAAGCTTTTGAAAAATGTGGATATAATATGTAACTAAAATGATTTCATATGTTCCAAATTTAATGTCCTTTTTAGAAAAATATTTTTTTTCATAAGGACTCGAATCCCACAGCTCACAGACCCACGTTGGGCGCAGTTATTTGAGACTGCGGTAGCCTAGTGGTCAAGGTAACGGACTCGGGGCTGGTGTGTCATGAGTTCAAGCCCAGTACCACTGAAGATACGCCATGTAGGGGAGCGATGCACATTATATCTGTCGAGAGCTCAAATTTCCTCCCATTAGAGTGGTGTGGTAGTTAGAAGAAAAGGTGCCAGCTTAAGTGTCGTCCTTGTCACATGACTATGGTTCAAAATTACGAGGTCCATCGCCAAAAGAACTCGTGTAGCTGAACAGTGCGATGTTAATATTCACTCGCTCACCCAAGACTCACAACCCCTGCTACGAGTTCACATTGGAAATATTAGAATTGCAAATAATTTTTAAAATGTTCATAAAAGTTCAAAAGATAAATATAATTAATAAATATATCAATAACTGATCAAATAACAATTATCAATAAGAGTACGTTACAATGAGATTTTATATTGTAAATCTGTGTTTTTTTCAGTTGATGTAAGTTTCTATTTGGCTGACAATCTTCAGACTGAAGTTTCATGGATTCCTAATAAACATTATTCAGGAGTGTATGGCCTTATGAAACTAGTCCTTCCCAGAGCATTACCAGACACATTAGAAAAAGTAATATGTTTGTTTTTAAATCATTATTCACACCTATACTGAATCATTTCGTGTCTACTTTTCAGGGTTATTATTATTTAAAAGAAAACAGATTTTTCTATACCATCTGTAATTTTCTGTTAATCTTGCAAAATATATATTTCATTTTTTATTTTTGTACATAAATAGTATTAGTTTTACTATTAAAGATTATATTTTGCTTTTAATAAGTGCATTTTTCTGTATTAAATATTTATATATCCTATTTTTTCAAATTCTAAATGTATTTGGGATTATTTTTATACTTTAATTTTTTATCACAACTTTTTTTATACACACAATTTTTTATTGAAATAAAACTGTTTCCTATTCTTTTTCATTAGGTTATTGTTTTAGATACAGATGTAACATTTGCTACTGATATTGCGGAACTGTGGCGAATTTTTAGGAAGTTATCTGCAAAACAAGTAAATATTTTCAATATCTCAATGAAACAATTTTGTTAAATGATGTAACAAATTATGATTTAATTACATCAATAATACATATTTTCAAGAAAAGTGGTATATATATAAATATTGTGATAACTCAGAAATCATTCAAAATTACAAATGATCCATCTCTGAGCCAACATAATTTATTATCTGGTTATTTTTTACACATGGGACTCTCATCTCAAAACACTCAAACTAAACTACTCAACAATTTTCAGTTTCACGTTCTGTACATATATATACAAGCAAGTTTACATTTTAAGAGATATCTGTACATGGTGCAGCCAACTGATTCACTCTCCTGTGACTTCCTTTTCTCCGCCAGAGAGAAACCATACAAGTACATTGTCTAGTGGTGGCATGTGGCCACAGTAACCTAGTAGTCAAAGTAACAAAAACTTGTGGCTGGCATATCATGAGTTCAGGCCTAATATCATTGAAGACCCGCTGTACAGAGGGGGTCCAATGCATGTTAAATATGTCAAGGCTCAAATGTCCTCCCATTGATGTGATGTGGAAGTTAGGAGAGGGAGTTGCCCATTCAAATGTTGTCCTCATCACTTGAACATGTTTCAAAATTATGAGATCTGTTGCCAAAACCCTCATGTTGTTGAATTGCGTGATATTAATTTTCACTCACTCACTGGTGGCACCATCCACAGCAGTAAATATTACCATTGGTTGCTGTATATATTTATTATTTTTGATACTTTACTACCCATCATATTTTGATTAGATTCATTGTAACAAGTAATATTTTAAAAAAAATTTGTAAGTCAATTCTTAGGTCAACAAATAGAAATTTTAATTTAGTTATTTTTTATTAAACAGTTACAATTAATAAAAATATGTATATACATATGACAGAATCACAATATTAAGTGACAAAATAGAAGGCTATTTTCCTTTCTATATATGGTGTTGGACATTTTTGTTTGTTTGTTGCTGTTTATTCAATAAAAAATTTAGTTATTCTTATAAAATACTGAACTGAACTCAGTGGTGCAACAGCCCATTAAGGCCAAGGCCTGCTGTGCCTATCTCAACTTTCGTGATTTAGGCGCTGGGTTGCATGTGCATAGGTTTTGGTCAAGTGGTCAGTCTGACGCGAAACCCCCAATGTTCAGTTCCCAAGCAAGCTTGGCACTCATTTTATTCACCCACTGAAGGGATGAAAGGCTGAGTCGACCTTGCGCAGCTTGGGATTCGAACCCCGAACCTGTGGTGTGGAAGCGCAATACACTACCACTCAGCCACTGGGCTTCATTCTAATAAAGTAGTATAGTAAAAAAGAAATCAAATTCTCAGAAATTAGGCCATCTCTGGTGGGATTCGAACCCACAACCTTTGAATTAGAAGTCCATTGCGCTACAGGTACGCAACAATCGATTTTCCTTTCTATATATGCTGTTGGACTATTATTTTTGTTTGTTACTATTTATTCATTTTTTTATTAATGAATTAATATTTGAAAAAATTGTATTAACGACTGAAAATTTAAATAAAATATATATATAGGGAGTGAGGGAACTAATTGTAGGAAATGAAAAAAAAAGCCTGGTGGTTAATGCTGTTAAACATCATCAAATTTTATGGATTAAAGACCTTTTTAGTGGTTAGCCATTATAATTGCCTTCTTAAATATGAAGTAAAATTTTTTTTTTACTCCAATATTATCATTTGGAAAAAAAATTCTCAATAAAAAAATGTTAAGTTGAAATGTTAAGAAATTTTATTTAGTGAACAGAAGCAGTTTTTCTGTTGCATGATTATAAATTTCTAAATATGAAAGTTCGACTGTGTTTGAATATATGAATTTTATTGCAGTTGTATAAGTGTATAAAATATCATGAAATAAATCCATATGTGCTTGTTATTTAGGCTATTGGACTTGTTGAAAATCAGAGCGACTGGTATTTAGGAAAACTCTGGAAAAATCACAGACCTTGGCCAGCATTGGTATGATTTTACATATAAAGTATATATTTCATATTTGTTAGTAATTTATAATGAATATATTCTTTAAATTAAGACTCCTGTGACTTAACTGAACATTTTGAATTCATGAATATAATATTCATCCTACAGAATTCTACTTTCCTTCTTATGTTTAAACTAGAACATTGATTTTTTTTTTTTTTTTTGAATTTTAAAAAAGCAGAAAGTAATGCAAGTTTTTTCCCCTCTGGAACTATATTTTTCTTTAATATTTTTTAAAGATCTAAAAATTGACTAAGGAATCATTGAAAATGACATAAAAATATCTAAAAATTGACAAAGAAATCATTGAAAATGACATAAAAATGTATTCAGATATTGAAAGGAAAATGTAATTCTATTCAAACTCACCTTACTTTTTGCTCTTTAGGGTGCACTTTATTGCACTCAAATCAATATATTAATCTAGATGTGAGGAAAAAATTGGAATTTCCATAGGATTAACATTATGTCCAGAAAGTCGGAATGACTTGTGGACAGGAGTGGTAATGTGTGTAAAGCACTATTTAAAATAATAAGCAGTATCATATAATTGCATCAAGCATCATGATTTGAAATAATCTTTGACAATAAAATTATTTCAAATTAAAGAATCTTTAAAACATATTTGGTAATTGCATATTATACCGTCTTATCAAAAAACATCACCAAACGCTACAATATGCATCCAATAGTGGAAACTGTTTTTGAGCATTTTCGAACACAATAATAATAACAAGGACAGCATTTATGGACATTTTTTAAATTAGAAAAAATATCATTTGATTTTATGAAATTGGTTGATGGTATAATACATAAATACCACATATTTTATAATATTTTAAATTTGATTTTTTTTTATTTAAGAGTCAAGAATGGATCATTTCTCAAATTTAACATTAATCATTATACTAACCTAATTTGCTGTAAAATTATTTTAAAACATATGAACTATTATTGTTGCTGAAGGAACTATTTTAGGTTTCTAAAAAAGACTTATTTTTATTGTATTATTTTAGAAAGAATAGATAGTAATCTTACTTTTATGAAAACAAGTTTTAGTTGTAAGAATTATTATTATTTGATATTTTACGACCTAAGGTTATAATTTTTCTCAGGGTCGTGGTTTTAACACTGGTGTTATATTGCTTCATTTGAAAAAATTACGAGACATTTCATGGATGCAGATGTGGAGGTTAATTGCTGAAAAAGAATTACTCAGTATGCTGTCTACATCGTTAGCAGATCAAGTAAGTTTCTTATTAATCACTAAAAAAATTATTCAAATGCTTGAACTATAAATTTGAAACAATTGGATAATACATATAGAAAGTGTCTCATATTTTTGAAATATGTTGAACAAAAGTGTACATAAAATTGCTTTCATTTACTTATTATAAAGTAAATAACTTGAATATAAAAAATTATTTAAAAATTTTTATTTTTCAAGACATTTATTTTGGATTTTTAAAAGAAATGTTATGTTTTTGTGGAATGTGTATTTCAAATGAATGAAAAAAAAATTTGAAAAAAATCTTCAGTCTTCATTTATATGTTATTCAGCTGCAGATTATGCATCATGTCAACTTAAAAAGTATATATGCACTATATATTATACACATCCATTCTTAGATATTAATTATTTGGTTTTAAGTAAAACCAAACTGTATTTTACTGTAAAATTCGGCATATAATGTGCACCTTTACTTTCAAGCTACATTTTTTTAATTTCTAATTATATTTACCATATAACACACACCCTTTTTTTTTCTTTTACGAAGAAACCTGTAATGCATGTATGCAATAATTTTTATGTTTAGGAGTCATTTATTTGAGGTATTATCCCAGGCTCTTGAAAAAATAGTATACTTTTAAACAGTGGTGTAACAGAGAACATTAGAGCCCTCCTACAGTCAGATTTTGGACCCTTAGCCAGATCTTACAAGGGGTAGGTACTTGGTGTCAGTTGTTCCTTTGCCCCCCCCCCCCTGTGATGCAGGGGTGTACATTATGCCACTGCCACCAAGGTTACTACTCTTTTAGTTCATAAGGTCTATAATTTCTTTTCAATACAGTTTTTCAATATATAAATGTTTCTACATTTATTGAAAAACTGTATTTAAAGGTCTAAATTTTTCTATGCTAATATTTTTTCTTTGTTATAACGGGTGCACGTTATACGCCGGGTTTTACGGTAAATTATTTCAGAAAAAGTATTCATTGCAATATGTTCTTACCTTTAAGAAAAGTTATCAATTAATAATTTTTAATTTTGTATTTAGAATGAAAATAATTCCAGATAACTTTATTTCTTCTCTTTCAAAAATTAATTTTCACTGTATTATTTTAGGACATTTTTAATGCAGTTTTAAAACAGCACCCCTACCTCATTTATAAACTTCCATGTCAGTGGAATGTGCAGCTAAGTGATAACACTTTAAGTGAAGTAAGTTATATCTGAAATCATTCATATCTTCAGTTCCTTGATTTAAATTAAAAGTTGTGTAGTGATATATCTTTAAAGGGATTATTTCAAGGAGCATTATAACTTTATTGAAACATTAGAGTTAAATTATTGTAGATTGAAACTTTAAAAAGATCATTTAAAAATATAACTGCATATAGTTTCATTATAAACTTTTTATTCAATTCTTTACGTTTTACTATTATTGAAATATTTCATGTAAATTTGGCAAAAATCTTTGTAATTATGTACTATTTATTTAATTTATTTTATTAATATTAAAACTAATTATATATGGTATTAAATGCTTAAAAAATTTATTTTATATTTAAAATGAATTTTTTGATTATTACATCTTTTATAATTGTTTCAGATTTGTTACACAGAAGTCCAAGATTTAAAAGTAAGTTCATTTTTTCTTTCTTCCTTTTGTTTTTCTCCTTTTATTGTTTATATTATATTTAATTAGCCAAGACTGTTACTTTGCTTTAAATTTATGACCACTATCATTAATTGAAAGATTTCTGTTTCAAACACCATCCATTTAGCTATCTTTTAAAAAGAACAATAGTTATTTTACTTCTAAATAATTGTGTATTTTTATTTTTAGGTTATTCATTGGAATTCTCCCAAAAAACTGAAGGTTAAAAACAAACATGTGGAGTTCTTTAGAAATTTATACCTAACATTTTTAGAATATGATGGAAATTTATTAAGACGCGAGCTGATAGGTTGTAATAATAGCAAAGTTACACATGTTCAAGAAGCAGTAAGTAGATCTCCTAATGAGATTAATATTAAATTTGTGTTACTTAGAAATTCACGTGTCAAAACTTAATGGAATGTATTAATAAAAATAATTTTAAGGTTAATGAATTTATATGCATTTGCTGGCATATTTTTACAAATTAAATATTACTTATCTGTGGAATGATTTTTCAATTTTCTAGTCTATGTGTAATATTTAAAAGTAAAGTAACTGAAATATATCCTTTATTGGAAAGTCCAATTTCAATTTAACGTATGTCTCCAAGAGGTCTTATGTTCTATAAAATCAGCCTAATTATCAGAATGTGTAACTCCACAAAACTGAAATCGAATATTGGTAAGTCCATTTTCTTAATAATTGCATTGAAATAAATCCCATGCTTAGTAAAAATAAACTGCTTTTACTTGCTCCTGTAAAGTTCATCCAGGAGTTATACATTCTGATAATGAGGCCGACGATATATAACATTCAATCTACAATATTTTAAAACCAAATTTTTTTTTTTAAATTGTTTCTTGTTACTTTGTATATTTGATAGAAATTTTTCATATTTTCAATATATGTTTAATATATAATGAAATAGTAGTTTTGTTGTAATGCCATCAACAGTTGAAATATTGAAAGTCTTTAATTTCGAAATAAGCAAGAGTCATAAGATAATTTGTTTTTATCATATTACTTTTTAAAAAAATGTGAGTTGACACATTTTCTGTGTTTAATTTTCCAATGAAAAAATACCACTACTTATATTCACAATATTTTGCCTTGAATCACAAAATTGTATATTATTATTGCATGAAATTATTTTTATTTAAATTTTTTAGTATATATTAGGTAAGCTTCCAAACATTTCTATTTTGATAATTATTAAATTTTTCTTTTTATAGTTAAATGCCATTGATGAAGATGATTCTTGTTATGAATTCAGAAGAGCTCGTGTTGTTAAACATCGTACACATTTATATTACATTGAATATGATTATGAACCTGTAAGTAGAACAAACAATTCATGAAAGTTTTTTTACATTTTATTTCAATTTGTTTTTGCATTGCAATCAGTTAGTTGTCATATAAATACTTTGAAAAAGTTAGTAAATCATATATTCAAAAAAACAATATATTTATTAACTCATATATACTCTTTTGTGATGAAGTTTTATGTATACATTATTACTA